AGTGCCTCAAGCAAAACAAAGCAGGAACAAGCTAAACCTCCTGGCACACAGCGCACAGCGAGGAGCTGCACAATCACACACAAAACACAAGCCCGAAAAGAACCAGCATTGCTGGCACCCAGACGCGGCACCGCCAGCCCAAGCGCGAAGCCGCGCAGACAAGCAGCCGAAGGGCCAAGCAATCAAGCAACAAGCAGCAGAAGCAAGCAGGAGGAATAAAATCCCTTAGACGCGATACCCGGAGGCAGCCGACTGACCACTGTCAGTCGAGACGTCCGCTGCCGCCACAAAGCGGGCGGCCGCGGACGGAGAAAGGGCAGCCGCCGACAAGGAGCCGGCGTTGCCCGGGGGTCCGCCTGGGGCAGCGGACGGAGGGAGGCTGGACGGTACCGCTCGAGGTAGTCCTCCTCGCTAGCCTCCGAGTCAGCGGTAGCCGAGTCAGCGGTAGCCGCCCGTGACGGCGGCGACGCCGCACACACAGCGGCAATGCCCAAGGACCGGCGTGACCCGACCGATGCCGGGGAGGAAGCAGGCGAGCTCGGACCAGCAGCAAGCACCCCAGTGGTGTCGAGCTCTCCAGAGGCACCCGACGTCACAGTGAGGGACGGAGACGCCTCGCCAGCTCCGCGCCGATCGTCGGCTCCACTCGACGTGTTTCCCCCATCGGAGTCGGAGACCTCCGGCGAAGACTCCTCCTCGGGCGACTCGACAAAGTCCGAGGAGGAGCTGTCCTCTGTGCTTGCGCCCGCAAGGAGCCGGGCATCGCCGGCTCCTTGTCGGCTGGCGACTCAGGCGTCTCCGCCCCTCAAGCAAAACAAAGCAGGAACAATCCAATGAGCGAGGAGCTGCACAATCACACACAAAACGCTTGAGGCACTTTTTACCTTCTGCCAGTAAATCCGTAATACCCTCGGTCGGGTCACGCCGGTCCTTGGGCATTGCCGCGGCGTCGCCGCCGTCACGGGCGGTGTTGGTCTCGTAAAAAGTGAGGAGGACTACCTCGAGCGGTACCGTGTTCCTGTGTCCAGCCTCCCTCCGTCCTCGGCGCTGCCCCAGGCGGACCCCCGGCCCGGGCCGGGCAACGCCGGCCGCCCTTGTCGGCGGCTGCCCTTTCTCCGTCCGCGACCGCTCGCTTTGTGGCGGCAGCGGACGTCTCGACTGACAGTGGTCAGTCGGCTGCCTCCCGAGTCCGGGTATCGCGTCTAAGTCGGACACGGATTTACTGGCAGAAGGTAAAAAGTGCCTCAAGCAAAACGTCTAAGGGATTTTATTCCTCCTGCATGCTCCTGCTGCTTGTTGCTTGATTGCTTGACCCTGCGCGCCGGGCTTCGCGCTTGGGCTTGCGGTGCCGAAAGGATACGTCGGAAATATAGGATTTACTGGCAGAAGGTAAAAAGTGCCTGGTCAGTGCTGGTGAGTTTGGATGCAAGAACGCCTTCAACTCCCTCGACCGCCAGGCTCTCTTCGATGCAATCGAGGGACGTGCGAGTCCCGACTACTTTAATGGGAGCATCACTGAAGGCGCTCGCTTGCCCTCTTATCCTCTTGCGAGCATCTCCGTTTGTTCGCCTCCTACCTCTCCAGCTACTATGGAGACTCTGCTGACCTTCGACTCTTTCACAAAAGTCAGTCAGCCTCCGTTCAGTGTACCTCGGGCGTCTGTCAGGGCGATGTCCCCTCCAGCGTATTTTTCTGCCACAGTATCCACCCCCTGCTCCTCCATATCGCAGAGCTTTTTCCCTCTGTTCGAGTCTTGGCCTATGCTGACAACGTCGTGCTTGTCGGTCCACTCGAGGATGCCGTTGCAGCTACGTCCGCTATGAAGAAGTACATGTTGGCTGATCTGAAGCTAGAGATTCAACCTCGCGAGTCGAAAGTTTACATCCCCTCCTGGCATCAACACCCTGATCTCTCGCAGCTGAAGAAGAGCCTTAAGCGCCGTCTCAAGACTCAACTTCTTCACTTCGAGGTCGTCACTGGCGGGATTACACTTGGCGGCCTGCCTATCGGCACGGATGGATTTCATGCTAGTCAGCTCCGAGCGAAGGTTTCTACCCTCAACGAAGAGCTCTCGAAGCTCGGGCTCGTCCAGCATGGCTTCATGTTCAAGACGCTAGTGAGGGCGAGCCATCTCCAGAAGCGGCTGCGCTTCTTTCTCCAGGGGTCATCTCCGTTTCTCCCGCGGGTCCAGTCACAGATTCGTCGCTTTGACCTCTCTGTCCACCTGGCGCTTGAGAAATACCACCGCTAGCCTTCCTCGCAGTACCTCGCCGCGCATCCCGACCTGCTAGAGTTTGCGAGGTTCAAGCAGGAGCTTCCGCCGCTGATAGTCGGGGAGGGGACGAGTTCACGCCCTCTGAGGGTCTACACCCCGCTGTTTACTATACGGCTATCGCTCGCTTCCTCGCTTGGTACTCTGACCAGCCCATGTCCCGGACCTTGCCCTCTCCTCATAGCCTGGACGTTCACTGCTCGAGATCTCTCCGTGCCCAGAAGCATCCTCTGGCGACCTTCTTCGTTGAGGCGCACGACTTCGTTCATAATGCTGGAGCGATCCTCTACCGTCGTGTGAGGGCTCCTGCACCGGCTGCAGATGGCGCGGCGATCCCACCTGCCCCGGCTGCTGTGCCTGATGACGCAGGACGCCCCCCGGCATCTGTGGTACACACTGAGTCCCTGGTTTGCGCGCCGCTCTCGTCACTACATTGCCGCCTTGACACGTAAGACGTCTTGGTTTACAGGAGAGTTTTTGTTAACTCGGCGCTATCTGACTGGCACGGCTGGCATACGTTCCATCAAGAGCGCCTTCAACACCCTCGACCGCCGCGCCAAGCTCTCTCGACTCCATCGAGGGCACTGCGGCAGGGCGAGTCGTAACAACGGAGACGGATTTACTGGCAGAAGGTAAAAAGTGCCTCAAGCAAAACAAAGTAACTATTTTGATGGGAGCCGCGATCAGCGAAGGAGCACGCTTGCCGCAAGCTTGCGAGCCTCTCCGGTTGTTCGCCTCCTATCCGATCTCCAGCTACTATGGAGACTCTGCTGACCTTCGGGCCTCTTTCATAAGGATCAGTCAGCTTCCCTTCAAAAATGTACTTGAGGCGTCTGTCAAGGCGATGTCCCCTCCGACCCCTAGGCTCTGTTCGAGTCTTGGCCTACGCTGACAACGTGAGTCGTAGAACACTTCAAATCAGTCAACTTGGACAGTGCCTGGCAGAAGGTAACAAAGCAGGAACAAGCTAAACTTGCATGAACACACCGACACAGCGAGAAGCTGCACAACAGTGCTGGTTCTTTTCGGGCTTGTGTTTTGTGTGTGTTTGTGCAGCTTCTCGTACTTCTGCAGTGGCCGGTCGATTCAAGTTCAACCGGCATCCGAGTGGGCCCGGCGCACGGTACGGTGTGACTCACGGCCGGTGGCAAGCCTAACAAACTTCCGTACAGCTACCGTGGCTCCAGCGGGCCCCGGACCGGCGATCACCCGGTGACCCGGCGTCGCCCGGTACTACCCGGCCCGCGGTACGGCCCCCCCCGGCCCCGGGTATTCCGAAGCAGTTCAAGAAGTCAAAGCCGGCTAGTCAGTTGGTACACTGAGGAGCCTGGGGTTGAATTTGGCTGCCTCATGTCTTGCCGGTATCTTCATCTGGGGCGGACTGGTTTTCTATGTCGGCTGCTATACTAGGATGTAACCAAAGCCATTCAAGTAGCACATGCAGACATGGCGGCAGCGGGTACGTGAGAGCGTAGGAGGGCTGCGATGGCTCCATGGAGCGACGAGAAGAAGCAGGAGAAGTGAAAGAAGCGAAGGAAATGAGAGGGAGAAGACCATACGAAGCGTGAGAACCGTCCCAGCAGCGCTCCTCCTACAGCGAGGACCTTTCCCTGCATCATTTCCCTTGCGGAGTCGTCCCTTGTGCAACCCATCCTTCCCGGCATTCCGTCTCAACGTGAGGTTAAGGCCGGGAGGAATAATCGAGGGCTTCAGAAAGTTTTCAGACAGGATGAAGGCAGGATTCTCCGTTCTAGCCGATTACAGTCAGGTTGTGAACCACGAGGCGAATGGTAGGGAAATGAAACTCTCAGAATTCCTTCATTCCGTCGACCCCGATCGTTTCCCTTCCCTATCATCATCGCGCAAAACTGTGAGGAAAGGGCTCGTGCTCGTGAACGGGCAGTTAGGAAAGATTCATCATTTTGTCATGTTGGGAAGGGACAGCGTACAGATCACTGGGAGGACGGAGTCAAACTTCAAGCCTTACGGAGACCCTCCCTTCCACGTGAGAGGCTGACACTTGTTCTTCTCCTCCCTAGATCGTTTAGTGCCCTCATGCCCTGCCCCCTCTTCCACCTCCACCATGTCCCTGCTATTGCTCTTTGCCACGCTCGCAGTGAACAATCAGTAGATTGACGTCATCTACGAAGACGATTTCTTTGCGTGCGTCTACAAGCCGCCAGGATTTTGCTGGTAGGATGCTGCTTGTGATCAGGCATCCATGACGATTAACTCCATCGCCCTCAGCCATCCTCCGGCTGGACAAACGCACCAGGAGGCGGCTAAGAGCATGCGCGTTTGTGTCCCTCATTTCGTGAAGACTGCTCCGCCCGGGACTGAAAGCGCCTTGTGAGTTGTCGGGTTGAGGTCCTCGCGATGTGAATTGCATGCAGGTGGCGACCTCTCCTCGTCCATCGCCTCGACAAGCCGACCGAAGGTCTCATGCTGGTCGCCAAGACCAAAAAGGTTCACCAGAAAGATGCAAGCTTCTCTCACCTTGCTTGACAGGCTTACACGGAGCTGCAGCGGCAGTTTGCGCTCAGAGAAGTGAAGAAAACTTACGCGGCAGTTGTGGAGGGGAGGGTGGAGGACGAGTCGGGAGTGATCGACCTGGCAATCGGAGGGAAGGAATCTAAGACAGAGTACAAGGTTGTGCTGCGTACAGCAGCTCCGAACCTGAGGGACGGTGTAGTCACAACCCTCCACCTACACCCCCTGCATGGAAGAACCCATCAAATTCGCATTCATTGCGCGGATGGGCTGAGAGTGAGCATCGTTGGCGACAAGAAGTACGGGAGGTCCTACACAGGCCACGGGCTCTGCTTGGCCGCCATCGGCCTCGAGGTCAAACATCCTGAGACCGGAGAGCTGATCAAGTTCTCTCGACCCGAGCCCGAACGCTTCAGTGCCTTCCGCGCCATGGCGGAGGCTGGGCTGAGGAGCATGTCCTGGAAAGAAGCTGCCTCCTCCTGCCTCACAGAAGTGTCTGCCACATCGGATGCCCAGTCATGCGAAGACGATGAAGCACTTAGCGAGGACGAGCTACTGGGAGATCTGAATAATCTCGAGCAGAGCTCATGACGGCGAGAAGGGCGGAGGATCAAGCTTTGAGCAGGAAACGAAATCTCAAGGGGATTAAAGGCGGCTCAGGTGGATACGTTTATCCTGATTCGACTCAAAATAAATCACAGCCACCCTCGCAGAGAAGTTTCCATACCAGCTGGAGATTGCCATCATAGCGACGAACGAGCAAGATATCGACACAGAGCACCTGCCAGCAGGGTCATTGAGATTTCACTTGCTGTCTCAATCACGAGAGGGATCACGTTTCGATTGGAATCTCTTTCAAGGCATCTAGAATGAGCTCGAAGACTGCCACCCACAGCATGGCTCCGGCGGCGAAACTTCGCAAAGACTCACAAGGCGCACGAGGTGCAAGAGACTCTCGCCCTACCCGAGACCAACAGGCTCCCATGCGATGAAGTTCTCGACGAACAGAAACACAGGGACCTGCAGTCTGATCAACCGGCGACCCAAGGAAGGAACAAGAAGGTCGAAAAAAACATGGCGGGCTCAAAGCATCACCGCTATCACGGGCTGTGGGAGGCTGGAGAGGATGGCGAGGACTAAGGTTTGAAACCTCGGGACTCCTCGAGGAGCCTAACACGCTGTCGTGAGGGCTCAGGCAGACAGACATGAGCCCACCAGCACGAGCGCAACCGCCAGGCCCTCAGGGACGTTGTGCACTGCCAGACTGCCAGCAGACGTCAGGAGCCGTTACAAGAGGTGGCGTCAGAACACCTCATTGAGATGAACGCTCCAAGATGTGCTCCTCCTTTCCCGCAGAAGGCTACTCCAATACCGAGCCCCTTGTTGCATGTCAGAGATCGTTCGGCACTGCCATCTCTCAACGCGTCAAGCACAGTCAAGGCGCTCACCTCGGCGAAGGAATGCAGGGTCATGACCGCTACGATCAGAATAATCTTTGAAGCTTGCAAGCCGGTGATGTCGCCGAAGTGAAACTGATCCCAAGTCTCTACCATCTGCTTCGTGACAAGAACAAAAGCGATTCCAAGCATCACGCCTGCACTGACTCGAAATGCGTGTGAAATCTTGACGTCGAGCAAGATAAGTCCATCATCGTCTAGTTCTAGACCCTCATAGGCAAGACTGTAGCTCGCGGACAGCATCATGCCTGCGGCAACCGCATTGGAGAGACCTAGGGTGAAACCTGAGGGCTTGCTGAAGACCAGAAGAGGAAGCGCTCCCACCCCTGTGCAGATTGCCGCAAGCCAACCATAGTACCACACATGAAGGGGAGTTGGAGCCTTGGAGGTTAAACTCTCAGGCTTGGATAGCGCAGTCACAGCAGCAAGTAAGAGAAACAGCAGTAGGAATTTCGATGATGCACAGTCTTCTTTTGACCGCAAGGTATCATGTGTTGTATTTCTGTGATGACCTTCCAACCTTTGCCGTCGCTCCCTCATCTCTGCTTTACCTTCCCTCTCCTCACCTTCCCGCTCCTCCCTTCTTGCTCCTCCCATCCTGTCAACTCCCCTGGACACTACGACCCCCTTAGACTACCCCTACTACCTCTCAATGACTACCCCACCCCATCCATTCCCCCATCAACCACTCGCTATAAATCAAATATATACAGCCACCGGACTCCTCAATTGTCCCTATGAACCCCACAATGAAAATGCTTCAATTATATTCAAAATTTAACTTTCATTTTCAATATTGAGTTGAAATTCATTTTGGTAAATCTCAGATTTTCGTAAATTTCAGATTTGAACACATTTGGAACCCCACCCCTACAACTATTTCAAGTACCCCACCCGTTAGCCCATTGAGATAAGACCCTCTGCCAAAATGGCTTAAACCCAGGAGGGAGAGGAGCAGGAGATGAGGATTAGATGAGGAGGATAAGTAGAAGAGAAGTATAGGACGAGAGGAGGAGGAGGAGGAGGAGGAGGAAGGCAGATGGAGGGCAAGAAGTGTCCCAGCATGATAGAGGTGATTGCAGGTTGATGACTCAAGGACAGGAAGGCACTGCCTTCCCTTCTCTGATAGTTTTTTATTCATGTCCCAGCAGGTTCACATGGAGTCAAGCGATCAAAGTTCTCCCTCCATTCCTATCAAAAAAGCCTTCGAATACCGCAAGGCCTGCGAGCTTGGAGATGTAACCTACTCTTTCTCGACTACTTGTTCAGTGTTTCTAATCT